CAGTCACATAAATGTTTGTTATTTTGCTTGATTTTCTTATTACCTTCAAATAAAAGCTTACCAATAATTACAAAAAAAAAAAAAGCCGCTATCTGTATTTCCTCAAGTTTTCAGTGTGCAAAGTTGACTGTACCGATAAAGTGAGCGTTGCTTTCACAGTTTATCAATTTCATATTATTTTAATTGCTTATACGTTTATTTTTTTTCAAAATAATGGCCAATAATGTTTAATCTTTGTCGGAGGAGACTGTAGAACAGTTTTTAGAAGACTTATGTCAACCCAAGAGTTGACCCCGTCCAATTTTTTGAAAATGAATCGGACAGTGACGTTTCTGAACCTGCGCCTGGTACTCACAATACCAGTCGCATAAATAATAAAAATACTAATATTTTACAAAAAATATTTTACCAATTGGTAGTGAGCAAAATGATACTTTTCTATGTATGATTCAATTTTTTGAGTTGATCGAGTAATTATTAATAAAGGAAAAAGTAACGTGTGAGCGCGGTGCTCACAGTTTAGCAATCATGATCCGTAACATAAGTTTACCAACGACGGGTTAAAAAATTAAAAATTACATAGACAATAATAACATCAGTTCTTTAGATTAAATCTTAAGTCTACTTTATAATGTTTTATGATGTATTAGATTAAATTAAAAACAAATAACGATATTATTTTATACCTACTAATTCTATGTTTAAACTTAAATAATTACATGTTATACCTTGTCGGCAAGTACGTAAAAAAATATATTCAGTCATTAGTTTTAATATCAAATAGTTTAATTTTAGTATTTACCTAAGTACTGCAAATGACGTCTAAGACGTTCATTTTCTCTGTCGCCTAATAATATATTAAAAATAATTAAAAAATATACTATAGTCTATAGTATAGACTCTATACCCTTATCGGTTCGTTTTCGTGGTGAACATTAGAATAATAATATTTCAATATCTCATGTTTTTGTTTACTTGAAATGTTACAAAATGCATTGCATCTAATATTTTTATGATTAATACAATGAACTAATTTTTTTATTAAATAACATAAATAATTAAAAATTTCGCTATGAGGCTCCTTTAACAACGAGGCCCGCGGAAAATCCCGCCTTTACACATATGTAGTTCCGCCTCTGATACAAATGATACTCAAAGATATCACATTTTCAACATTAGATCTAATAAATATTTTACATTACTTACTTTTTTAAATAATTGTTGATCTTCAATTTTAACATATTGCATATAATTTTTTACTGTATGTAAAAAAATAAAATATTTAATAATCTTATTATATATAAAACCTCATCTTCTCAGCTTCGCGTCGAATCTAAAAAACAATTGAAAAATTATTCCTTTTTAAACATACAATTTTCAAAAAAAAATATTTAATAAAAGAACTCGACTACCTTATTTTAATAAAACTATTAGCGAAGATGAGAAAGATGAATTTTAGTACATTGGCGAGCGTTTAAAAATTTTATCAAAAACGTCCACGCACATCATTTTTAATAGAATATGATTTTACTTTTCGCAACCTAAATATTTAGTTGAGATATTTTTTATTCTTTTTATTATTATTTAATTTACAAGTGGGAATAATTGTCTGGTAAATGCTTTTGTGGTTATATTATTTTGTGCCTGCATATAAGGACGTCATTTTTTTTTTGGATGTGTGTGATTTCAAGTAGGCCATTTTTAAAATTCATTAGGCCATATAAAAATAGATATACCTACTTAAGTAAATTATTCTTCTTTTGATTTTCCCGTAGATTATGAATCACAATCAATAGAAATAGTAAATATAAATTATAATAATACTTACTATTTAATATTATATTATATAATGTAGCGGTCGTTTAATTATATATTTATCAGTTCATTACCGTTATCAATTGTTGCTGTTAACTGCGCGACAAAAAAGTTATGATAAAAACGGTAGCACAATGGAGTCGAATGCACAGTATGGACGTGGCTTAGTTGGGTCAAGTATAGATGATATCTGACAGTGATTGAAATCACTATCATAAAAAACGTTTCGATGCAAATCTGTAGATAATGTTTAATTCTAAGAAGTTGGTAGATTACTCCAAAAGCAAGATTAACTCCTATTTTTTGTTCTACATTGACTGCCATTTAGACATAGAAAATAAATAGTCGGTACAAATTTTTTTTTTTTTGAACTTTTAGTACATAAAATAAGCTTTATTTTAACATATATTTAAAAAACACAGTCTTTCCCAGAACATTTTCAAAATTTAAATTGAAAAAATTCTACATTTTATACAAGTTTTCAAAAATTCTAAAAAGCTTTTTGTATAAATTCATAGTAAGTTAGATTCATGTAAATTTTATATTTATTGGCTGACTCATTACTATGGAAAATCCTTATTTTTAATACACGACGCAGCAACCGTACATTACACGGAAACATAACTTTAAAAAAAACGGTAGCACAGTGGGGTCGCGGCATAGTAGAGACAAGTATAGATGATGTCTGAGAGTGATTAAAATCACTATCATAAGAAACGCTTCGATGCAAATCTGTAGATAGAGTTTAATTTTAAGAAATTGGTAGATTATTTCAAAAGCAAAAATAACTCTTATTGCCTTAATTTTATCCCGATTAGTTATTTGATTTATAATTATAATATATGAATAAATAGTAATTAAATTTAGTATGAAATTTATATACAATAATTTAATATTGTAATTTTTACGGAGATATTATAAAACCAATTTTAATTCAATTTGACTATTCTTGAATGGAAGGAGCTCGAAAGACCCCGTGCAATAAGGGATTGTATAAAACAAAATAAAACATTTAATTCATCTGGCTGATAATTTCAACGGGCACGCGATGTGTTTATCGTGAAACGTAGTGTGTAAACTGTATACTGTATTTATTTATATTTACTTGGATACCGAATAAACGCACTTAAAGTAAATAATTTTGAACGAATCACGGCGATTTTTGTGTTTTGGAGAGCAATTAAAAATGTTTAAAATCCTCGTAAAAAACGTCCGAGTTCTCTGCATACAGCCCTTACCGTTGTATATTGAATCATTTTCGGCAGACGAAAATCACGATATGTATACAAACACCGTATTAGTCACCTATCGGTCAGAAACGACCAATGTTGCTAGAGTGCCCTACGGCGTCAAATTACTAACCGTGAATCCAAACGGATCTTACGCGGACAAGATTGCTACCAAACCGGAAAATATCGCCAACACTGACACGATTATGAAATTAGAGCCATCGGCTACCGGACTGATGAAAAACAAACGAAACAGTACTACAGATTGTGACTACGAATATGTACACTCCCGTGCCGAATTTTCATTGGGCTATT